ACACAGAACATTGACTTCATAGCCAACATCTTTTACCACGAGCTTGGCCACATTTTGGGCTTGAGGCACGAACGTGCTCACGAGCTCGTGGATGAGAGGCGCATCTCCTCTGTTCAGTTCGGGCCCGCCAGCCCCAAGTCGGTAATGAATAACGACTTCGATGATGGCAGACTGCACTTGATCGTAATTCATTCGCTAGATAAGCTGTGGGTACAGAAGTTCTACGCATATGATGAGCCCAGCTTTGCTGGGTCGCTTATCGTAGATGTAGAGGCTGAGTATCTTGAGGTTGCCAGGTACAATCTCACATCCATTCGCAAGAGCCTCGTCAACTAATTATTCTATATGTCCTTAGTATATTTAACTCGATTTACACTTTGATGCAACTGTATTGGGCCAGCATGATGTGGTATCTTTGGGGCTCGCTTTAACGTTCACTCTAAGCCTAGGATGATCTCAAGCGCTGCCTCCTCTGAATACGTCTTCGATGAGAAGCACAATTGATAGAACCTTTTGCACACATAGTCAATGAAAAAACCTTTGTTGACGAAATATTCGGTGATTATCTCAGGCGAAGCTCACAATTCACAAATAAGTGTAGAAAGAAGACTATAATCAAGGACATTTTACTTGGAAAGAATCAGTCACTATAAAGAGAGATAATAGCATAAGTCTAACTATGATCATTAGAACTCCTAAAATTTACTGTATGATTACTAATAAATTATAAAGAAATCTTAACACAGAGACAGAAGCAAGACTAACGCAAAGAAATTCTAGGACTACATGTGATCAGATCAGACCACATTCTATGCCGAGGCATTCTCTTCCATCGGATTGGTCACATTTGCCACAGCAAATTCACTGGACTCACTGCATATTTATCTAGAATAGTGCACACAGCAAATACCTATGGTCGGAAGCACTGGAGCGGGAGGCAAATTACCTTTTGGAGTACTTGAACTCCCACTTGGCAGCTTAAGAAGGTGTGGTGAGTGCACGAGTCATGTCTTCACTGCCACGTCTTCTGTTGGCGTCTTCTCAAGGTCTCCCTTTTTACCTCTGTTTGTCTTCTCTTGTATGTGGCTTATATCCAACGAATAAGCCTGATTAGATATATTAGATCTAGAGATTTGTGATTCATTGAGTATCTTCCTCTATCTGAGGTTACCCGGATGTCACCGATCTGTTCTGCTTGGCAGCTTATTGATAATTCATTCCAGTATTGTTGATCACGCCATGCGGGAGTTCGGTAACTTGATACTGACAGCGAATATCCGATCTATCCGGCTAGCTGTCATGGGAACAGATGCTCCATGGGCACTCCACACATCTTTGGGGTGAACTATAAGATTTCCCCTTCATCCATTCAAGTACGATAGCCTAAATTAGCAATGAGACATCATTTTAAACGATCAAATAGCTCATGCCATAACACTTTCCGGTGCACAACAGCAACAATTCAGCACAATGTCGCGCAAGTATCAAACGTTAAGCCCCGCTACGGGTCAGGTTGTCAAAGAATTCCATGGGCTTTCGGATCGGGAAGTTGAATCGGCATTGGATAAGGCCAATCGACGGTTTGCAGATGACTGGCGCTTCCGCCCTGTGCAAGATCGAGCACGCGTCCTTACAAAAGCAGCTGCTATATTGCGAGAGAGGATCGACGAGTATGCGGGAATCGTCACACTTGAGATGGGCAAGCTTATAAGCCAGTCCCGAGCAGAGGTTGAGGTATCTGCCGGTATTTTGGAGTATTACGCCAAACATGCGGAACCCTATCTGGAGACAAAGCCTGTTCTTGGAACCCAAAACACCGTCATTGTCACAGAGCCGATCGGCATTATCCTGGCAGTTGAGCCTTGGAATTTTCCCTACTACCAATTGGCGCGTGTGGTAGGCCCTCAGCTCGCCGCTGGCAACGTTGTTATTGTTAAGCACTCCCGGAACGTCCCGCAAGCCGCTCTAGCTTTCGAAGAACTGCTCCGGGAAGCCGGCGCACCAGAGGGCGTCTACACGAACCTTTTCGTTGAGTTCGACCAGGTCAACAAGATTATCGACGACTTCCGTGTTCGTGGAGTGACGCTCACAGGCAGCGAAAGTGCGGGCGCAAAAGTCGCCGAACGAGCCGGTCGCGCGCTGAAGAAGGTTGTGCTGGAACTTGGGGGTAGTGATCCATTTATCGTGCTTAGTGACGCTGATATGGAAGATGCCGTACGTCAAGGTGCCGAGGGTCGTATGGCCGTGACAGGCCAGGAATGTGTAGCGTCGAAGCGCTTCATCATTGTCGGCAAGGAGCGCGGCCATCTCTTTGTCGAAGGGTTGAAGAAGATCTTTGATTCTTTGAAGTTCGGTGATCCAGCGGATGAGTCAACTACTCTTGGTCCATTGAGCTCGGAGAGCGCCCGTGATACATTGTTTGAACAGATCAAGTCGGCCAAGGCTCATGGGGCTCATATTGTCTCTGGTGGAAAGATCATTGACCGGCCCGGCTTTTACATCGAGCCTGCCATCATCACAGATATCGACGAGAAGAATCCTCTTTATTACGAAGAAACATTTGGTCCTGTCGCGTCGATCTATGTCGTCGACGATGAGGAAGAGGCTATCAAACTCGCCAATGCAACGAGGTACGGTCTGGGTGCGTCTGTTTTCAGTAAAAATATTGCGCATGCCCGAGCTGTGGCTACTAAGATCGAAACTGGAATGGTATTTATTAACTCGCCAGCGGTACTGTTACCGGATGTGCCGTTTGGAGGTATCAAGAATTCGGGTTTCGGCCGGGAGCTCGGGGAGCTAGGGATCGGCGAATTTGTGAATCGTAAAGTCATCCGGGTCGCAGCTTGAGGGTCACTAGATTGGCATGACTTTTAGGAAATGCAGAAATAGATAAATGTATATATTTGTTACTAATACAAAAGCTTTCAGTTGCACGACCCGCTAAAGTTATTTGGCACTCACAATTATATCACCTTGTTCAACAAGCTTCCCGTCCATTCCGTTTGCTCCTCCTTCTCTTCTCCTCTTCTCTTCTCTTACCACCCTACTAGCACCTCTAAGAAGTAACCATAGTCCCTTCTCCGATTTAAATGTCCTCCAGAACCCCAAATGGTACAAAGCTCACACTCAAGAGACATGCCACCTCTCGTGATAGGGCTATCTATAGATCAAGGTAACTATACATAAGAGGGCATGCCAGGTATTCAACTTATGCCACAGTGTACTCTCACCGTCTGGAACTTTGTCGTAATGGCCTAGGGAGAAGACCATAGTGAGTAGCTGATCTGAGAAATACTGACATACTTGATCTAGATAATATCAGCGAAGAATAAAAAGGATCAAAACAGTCATATATAGATCAGATAATGGCCCTGGATATGCCCTTAAAGGAACCTTTACTGTGTTGTGAAGTGCAAAACTGATGTGTATTGTATGGCTTAACTAACAGGACTTGCATGGCCGACCAACATCACCTGCCTGTACCTCACAGAGTTCCATGTTGTGGGCACGATTGAAGCTACAACTGCGCCGTCAGAGCCATTGACTTCCGAGGCTACGTGTCTTCACTACTGTCAGGAGCCTTGAGGCTCATTGTTATGGGAGTGCATCTTTTCGACTGCGAGAGCTCGAGGCTCTGTCAATACATGATGGAGCACCCGTGTGTTGCTGTCATTGTTGTTAGACTGTCAGAGACTCTGAGACTTGTTGCTGTGGAAGCCTCTTCATTGCTATTATTTGGTCCTGTCAGAAAAGCTTATAATTATGAGGTGTCAAAAAGAGGACCATTGATTGAGATTATTCTACTCTATCAAATTGATTATTGTGAGAAGAGACAATAGTATTATGTCTTATTGTGTATCTTATGGTGTATTAGATAGAGTGATCTGAGCTAAATCTGATCAAATAGATATAGCTTATAGTGTATCAGGTAGAGTGATATGGGCTGAGTCTAAACAATTGAATTTCGAAGCATTTTTCAGTCTATTTGGCTGTATAGTAGATCTAAGAAATGACCTTCATCGCAAAGAACATCTAAATAGGTACGGATCGAAGTCATGATTCTCGGGCTTTGACGGGTTGTCTGTTGGCTAGGAAAGAGGCAGGATGCCTTGATGATATGATCAACGCGCGGAGAGTTGGCTTAAATGTATTTGAGAATAACAAAAGATATTCGGGTTTTGTCCACACCTCAGAGTTCTGTTTACTACTCTGAGACTCATACTCCAGTTGTTCATCCGGCTCCTGAGGTTTCTGGCCGAGGGATACTAATCGTCTGGTAAGAAGCAAGAGATGCAGAGGCGATTTATCAGGCTCCAGGCGATGTGCCGTACTCATGAGTAATCGCAAGATCAGAAGGAAAGCAGCCTTCAAAATAAATTCTCCATTTTAGCTCCTAGCTGTCACCTTCTTCCTCATTCACTCGGGCAACCCCTGATACATCCACTGACTCGGCTCAAAAATAATCTCAAAACTAACATCCTCAAACGTGCCTACGGCGCAACTCAAGTCATGGAACCCCTCGAGCCCCGTAACTGGCAAGTCCTGCTCCGCGTCCGTCTCCTCATGCAAGTTCCACCGGCCCGCCTCCCTACCGTTCCTCGTAAAGAAGATATCCACCTCGATCTTGCCGCCGGCGGGCGTGAAGGTCATCCCCAGACCATACGTCTCGCCTTTCACAAACGGCGCCGTGAAGCTCTTGCCGCCCCACCGGTCATTGATGTACTTGTGCCCATCGTCGCCGTGCACTGCCAGCGACCCGCGGTGCCACCCCGGCATGCGGAAGGTCGGGTACGGCAGCGCCGCGTACCCAATGGCGAGCGACGTCTCGCGCGCCGCGCAGTCCGGGCGCACACGCACCTCGTAGTAGACCGTCTTGGGCCGGCCCGTCGCCAGCGGGCTGTGCTCCGTCACGGCGTACAGCGGCGGGTAGCCGACGATGCAGTTGTCGCCGCTGCGCTTGTCCGTCTTGCCCGCCCACACGCCCGGCGACACCCACGCCAGCGTGCCCCGGTACGTCGTGTTCGGCGGCGGCGCCATCAGCCGCGGGTTGTGGAACGCCAGTGCGCCCAGCGCCGCCGCGTCCAGCCGGATCGGCGCGCTGAGCGGGTACCGCTTCACCCATGCCTCGCCGGCGTTGGCTTGCGCCTCCGTCGCGTTTGAGGCGGGAGATCTGTCAAAGCCGGAGAAGATATCCGGGGGCGGCGGGAACAGCGACGTGTCTGGCACGACGGATTCCCAGTCATGCTGGGGTTTATCCTTTTGAGATGGTGGAGGTCCCGGGGGAGGAGCAGCGTAGTCAGCGCCTCCATGAGATGGTGGTGGTCCTGGCGGCGGCGCAAAGTCATCCTGCCGGTGTGATGGCGGCGGTCCAGAAGGGGGAGCATAGTCCTCCTGCTGTCGAGCTGGTGGAGGACCGGGCGGTGGTGCAAATTCATCCTGCTGATGAGTCGGCGGCGGCCCTGCCGGAGGCGCATACTCCGCCTGTTGTCGCTGAGACGGTGGAGGTCCCGATGGTGGAGCATAATCAGTTTCCGGGGCCCGATGTGAGGGCGGTGGGCCGGAAGGCGGCGCGAATTCGCCTCCCGATAGATCATTCAGCGGGTGCTGCTGCTTCTGCGGATACTGTGATTGCGGTGTGCTCATCTTGACTGACGGCGGTTTCGCAGACGATTGTTGTTGAGAAGGCACCTGAGCCGGCCGGGGTGGCTCCTCATTATGACCGTCCTTACTGCTGCCAAAACACATGACGTATGCAGGTAATGTGTGGCTATGTGAAGTGAGTTGAGGAAGTGCACGTCAACAAGGCAGACTGAGATGGATGAAAGTGTGCAAGATGAAAGAACTCGGTCGCTGTGCTGGTTGAGATGGTTGCTACCAACAAGATGAGAGGCAAAGTGACGTTGATGCGGCGGGGAGTAGTACCAAAACGGTGATGCAGCTACGACGCACGACAAAGAAGATGGATGCAGCCAATCATCAAATCACCGATGGGCGTATTGAGGCAGCCCAGGCTTTGTAGTGATGGATGACAATGACAATTAAGGACTGCTTGGAGCTCGTTGGATATTCCTGTCGCTCCAATTCGGTGGGCGAACCCAGCAAATGAGGGAGGCTGTGCTACGCTTGCCAAGCGGCACAAAGGCAGTACTTAGCCATATAAGTCAACCACGCTTGACTTCAGTTGGCTCAAACTATAATATGGTCCTCTGCCAATACGCGCCATTCATTGCGTTAGTGACATCTAAGAATACCGTTAACTTTCTTTATTCTAGAATGCTGCTAGAGTCGAATACGCATCCCGCGCCACATGTAGTACCATCGTTCCAACAAATCGGTTAGCTTCCTGATGAGCAATTCACTTCTGCTAACCACATTCAGACATTCCATTTCACATACGACTACAATCACGGTAGCGCATGGTTTTGAGGGATCGACTGTTTGCATTCTGAGATGAGCTATGTGACTATCGTCTTGCTGTCCATTCTGCCCACGGCAGATGAGTTGGACACCTGTCCCAATACTAAGAAACACTTATCGTACAATCTTTCGAGCAAGAGCTAAGTGAAACGTTGCCGTAGATTGTAGTCCCGCTTACTCCGAAGAGAAAGGGTGAGAAAATATCAATGTTGGATAAAAGGACATAGCTAAGAGCATATGTACGAAATGAAAGTTGTTTGGCGAGCTGAGCAGGAATTCCTAGTCGCCGTTGTTTCCTTCACGATACGATGAACCCATGATCGCTACATGTCATCCGTCACAGCTTAAGCTCCCCAAGAGCTGGCGTCAAGGGGATTCGGGTAGTAGAACGCCACGACACCAATAATTATGTAGGTTGCACATAGAAGAGCACCCTCGAGATAATTGCTGCGACCATCGAGGACCAGGAAATTGACAATGAATGCCGAAACGAACAGGCATACGGTCTCGAAAAGGGTGAAGTAGAGAGTCATCTCTCGGTTCATGATCCAGCCAAGAATGACAACCAGAGGCGTGATGAAGAGGGCAATTTGAATAGAACTACCGACAGCAACACCAATCGCCAGATCCATCTTGTTCTTCATGGCGACGGTGATGGCGGTGACGTGCTCAGCGGCATTGCCGACAATCGGCAAAATGATCAGACCTATAAATATTTCGCTGATCGTGCTGGTTTGGACAAGACCGTTGATAGAATCAACCATGAATTCGGCACAAACAGCAACCAGACCAGTGGAGACTAGCAGAAGAATGATAGCGCTAGTACGCGACATATCACCCGCATACTTGTCGGCAGCATCCTCAGCAGCAGCTCCAGATGAGAGCGCTGCAAGAGGGACCTGCGATGGTAACATAGCTCCTGGAGGTCGAAACTGATATTGATTCAGGCGATCAGGTAACGAGTTTGTACGACGGATGCCAAAGCGGACACGGGGTACTGGACCAGTAGGTACAGGAGGCATAGCCCGCAATTCCGGCGGTTGTGTGAAGACGGTAGGAGCCAAGCTTTTCGCCACAGGTTTCAAAGACATGCCGAGAAGCGCGTTGAAGGGTCGTCGGCCCATTGTCACGTCAACAGTGCCGTCTTCGTTGGGGGTGATATTTGAGAGAGCGAAGTCAACACGGCGAGGTTCGCCTGAAGGCTCGAGTGGCTTCTCTGCGAATTCAGGATTCTCGACGATGGTTTCCTCAGTCGGGCTGGTAGCACCATGAGAGTCTGAGTTGTGTCTCTTGGAATGTCTACGATAGCGTCGCATAGACCGCTTGTGATGCCGCTTCCTGTGGCGATGAGGTCTCTCATCCTCGACAGCAGACTCGTCTCCATCAGGCACATTCAGTTTCTGGAAAAGAGATGGGCGCGAAGCCGTCTCTTCGGTTGGTGAGAACTCGTGAGTGGGACTAACTGCGTTCGCCGTTCCGAAGGAGGGGGTGCGTGTGGGCCCAACATCAGTCGTATCCATGGAGGCTACACTTGATTTACGGCGACGCCCTCCACGAATGACCCGTTTGACACGTTTTGAGACAGTATCCTTCGAGTGACCCGAAGAATCAGAATCAGAGTCAGAAGATGAACTATCATCAGAGCTTGAGGTGTCGAGCCAGACTGCAACAGGACCAGGGGTTGATTCCGCATCGATAATGTTCTGCGGCGTAGACTCATACATGTAGGCATGAGACTTCAATTGGAACAGTAAATAGATGATGTAAACCAGGAGGAGGATCTAGAGACCAATTAGCAAACTGCACGACAATTATTGATATTATAACATACCACACTGGTGCCTCGGCTAATCTTGAGCGACTGCTCATCCGCAAGGTTTTGATCCTTGAATGAGGCATGGAAGGCCGTCTATAACCTGTCAGTAGTGTCGCTGAGGGGGATAGTAACCTGACATACGGGCAAAACAAGACTGATCACACTCAAGCTGAGTAGACACGCGCTCATCTGTGTAACAGTGCTGTTGTAGATCTGACTGGCGTTAGTCTCGGTGTAAGGATCAATTTGTTGTGCAGAAAACGCACCTGCTCTCGGAAGCGCAAACCGCCAAGGAGGAAAGACATGCCCAGGATGAGCAGAAGGTTGGCGAGGATCGAGCCGAGGAGGGAAGCTTGGACAATACGGATTTCATCCTACACCAAGTTAGACGCCTCCAGATGTGGATGTCGTACCAAGACGTACCTTGACAAGTGCAATACTGTTAGGTTAGAGAAAGACACATTAGTGAGCATGGATTCAATTTACGCAAGCAGTGCATGGCGCGACACATTGGGAAGATAGAAGATACGAAGGAAGAAGGTTCAAGGATATGGGACGCGATTGATCTGATAATGCCTTTACAGGGCTTCTCTCTCTTTCTTGTCTTGATCACTTCTGTGAGGTAGACATACATGCTGAGCGGCCGGTTAGCAATTGATCGAAGGATATATGGCTTGCCCAACGCAGAAGGGCGTGGGGTAGTGGTAGATAACTTACAAGATGATAAGTTCCACGGCGTTGCCGAACGTAACATTCAGCAGAGCACCGATTGTGTCACCTAATCTATGAGCCACAGTCTCGGTAGCGTGGCTCAAGAGCCCTGCCAGCGGAATAATGGCAATGGCATTCATGGCAAAGATCACTCCGGGTGGCATGTTCGGGACAAACTCGACGGCGATGCCGACGGGCACAAAGACCAGCAGGAGGTTGATCCAGCTGTGGAACAAGATCTTCTTGAAGGTCAAGTAGAATCTTGCAGCAATAGGTTTCTTCTCTTCACCGGCCTTGGTCTCTATGAGAGACCCCGACCCCGTAGTTTGCGGAGATGTAGCGGGCTGCCCGGCGCCGCCGTCATCCTCTCCAGGACCGTTATGCGATCCCAACTTAGGGGCGGACTTCTCGGCCGGCTGGTCGAGAGGCTTGTGAATGCTGCCATCATTGCCATTGCTACTGGTGGTCGCGATCGTGGCGGAATGCGACTGGGTAGAGGAAAAGGTTCGGGGGTTACTTATGGGGAGCAGAGCGGGATCGGGTCGTGTCGACGCGCTACGTGAGCCTCCATGCGCTTTGGATGTTGCCCAAGAGCGTATTGATGCTATATACGAAGAGTCAGGTGAAGTTTCCTTCATCGAATGGGCTGTGCGTAGCAAGTGTTGGCACGAGTGTCGGGGCAAAATGGCGATTTTGCTTGGGGGGGGTGATGAGAGAAGGGAAAAGAAAGGGAGAAAAAGGAACGGGACGCCGTGTTGGGAATGAGGCACTCGACATATAAATGACCAGAGCGTCGTGGTTCTAGGGCAGGGCAGCCAAGGAGTGGCCAAAGGTGCGGAGGCGTGGGGGCGTTCAGTCATTGGCACTGCTCGGTCCCTAAACAGGCGTGACAGGGACCATGCCAGAGGGGAGGCCCCCCCTAAGGTTGAGATTGACGTCCTCCTAGCGCGCAGAGCCCACTGTGACTCGTCCGGCTGCACCACACTGGTGGCGCGGCTGCACACTAAACAGCCCCAACAGCGGAACCTTGTTAGCGGAGCGTGATCTGTGAATTGAAACCCTTCATTGGCTCCAGCCGTATCAAGGTTCCTCTCGATAGGGTTCTGGTTCCCAGCGACTCCAGTGCATGTGCGACCAATTCGAGAACGATGACGCTGACGACGCGCGAATCATCGTCCAGCCGGCACTACCGGAGAAGAAATATGCTTGGTTCTCATGAGTCGTGATAGTGCTGATGCTGTAAACGACGCCGGGTCTGCATGGGGCAACAGATGCTTCAGTGAGACAAGCACTCTTGTCCCTCACTTGGCAGCAGCTTGATAATCAAGCAGGCGAGCACGTGGGGGAGCTAATGCTCATAGTGTCCTGCACTGGTGGTTCTTGGTGAGGCGGCTCTTGGTGGGCTAGGGCCAGGTAGTTCGGGGGCGGAGCGGACGTAAGCAGCGGATTCGGGGAACCTGAGAACCCCAACAGCTAAGATAGCGTTGAACTTACTCATTATGATGATTTGAACAATGGTGATATGACAGCGGATGGCGCCGGTTCTCGTCAGCGTCCGCCCCCGTCAACCGGCTGCTGCTGGGCTTCTAAACACTCTCTTCGCCTTGCTATCGTTGTTCACTCGCCGCCAAGGCCCAGAAATGGCAGGTTGTTAAGTGTGGCCAGGAATGTCGACTCGGGCGGATTACACAGTGGAGTCGTTCGTCGTCCTCCGCTTGCTCCGGCAGGAGGGGTGTGCTGTCTCTGATCCGTATTGGTGCGTTCCGGCCTGCAGACGGTGCCGAAAGCCGTTGTAGATCACCCCTGGAACAGCAGAATCCTCTAAGAGGGAATGTCAACCTCCTACAGCTGACTGGCTGTTTGATGATGGGAAGAATATAGAGAGAATGGTCGTCGCCGGAAGATGCTAGTCACGGAGAAGGAGGAAGCCACCCCGGGATATCCTCAGCCGTTTGCTTGATGGTCCGTGACTGGTCTGCTGATAGATATCACTCAGTGAGATGACCAGGCGATGTCAAGAAGACATTTCATGCTGCCGGTAACTGATCCTGATGTAAGTTAGAAGAGAGAATAGGTAGATAGGTTGTTGGGATTTGCATGCATCCCCACATACCTCAGGGAAACAAGGATCAAACCGGATCAAACGGACGCAAGCGACATCATGCCAGTGCCAAGGCTGCAGTAGTCTTGAAGAAGTGTTTCCCAACCAAGAAGCAGAGATTCAACGAGAGCGTTCATTGCTAGTGAGAAAGCTCTCGCTCCTTCTGTTCTGCCATTGCGAGCCACATCATCTGACCCTATAATGATTCACCCGCAAGGCTGACACCATGGAGAGGTCGAGATATGACACAGAAAACTTGCTCATGGATGCCTTAAGCTACATAGGGACGAGGTAGGTTGTAATGTAATGTCACTTTTTGGGTAGGTGAGGAGCAGGAATGCAGAGAATGGAAAGAGCGACTTGGCGAGATTCGCACGTCACACACCTCACACATACCCGGATACAATGTTCGATGCTTCAATAGCAATAAACTTTAAAGAGCCACAGTACTTTGCATAGCCAAGGCTGAGTAAGTAAAAACTGTGATTATTATTTACAGTATATTTACACATTTCCATAGAGCATATGCATCACATCAAGGGTAGCCAGCAAAGTCCCCATTTACAGATCATTGAATCATCTTTCTCAACCTATGTAAGTATCGATCTCGACCACAGACTGCAACCTTGTCTCCTGTCTTCTTATCTACTCGAACATTTCCACGCTCTCTCGATGCTTCCCTTTTCTTTCCTTCCCAGTCCATCTCCCTGGGTCCGCCTGGACCTATATGCCGGAACATGTACGCACGCGAGACCGCGCGCGCAGGTCTCATAATGCAGAGTAGTAATAGTGAGCCTCCCGAGAAGAAGTAGAGATCTTCAGAGTGTAAGCAGTGGATAATAATAGTTGTAGTGGTGATATGATGTGATGATAGCAGTAGTAGGGTTATTGCCACCACCACCATCTCTCGGAGGGAAAAAAAGACTTTAAGTTCCGACAACACCAGTACAGCAAGACCCTTCGAAATGCCAGTTCACGCCTCGACTCCCTTCCAATACCTGGGATTCAAATTTCCGTTCTCAAGCAAAAACAGAAAATGAGTATGCGCAATCTCTCGTCTAACTGCTTGATCAAAACTCGAAGTGAGGGGGTATTGATATCAGACAGAGCTGAGCAACAATCGCGTGGCGGGAATGGTGTCGATGTATTAGAAACGCAGCAAGTCGAAAAGGCCGTCTTATTACAAAAACATATCGTGATTTCGTTGAATGAGGTAAGGAAAAGATGAACCGTGCAACCAGGATGGATCTATCTCCATCTGAGACACGGTGGTTCGAGAGTCCATAGACATTAATTCATAAGAGAGGGGATTGGCAGGTAGGTTCGACCACCATTATCGCTCTTCTCCACCCCTGGCTTTTCCTCTCCTCCTGAAGAAATCCATGACTCTTCTTGCAGCACCACTGCTGCCGGCATGGTCGTGACGTTGCGCAAAACCGTCGTCTGTGTCGTACGCATCAACGAAGCGCTTGTTCTTCTGCAACACGCCACGGTGACCACGGCTGGTCACTCGGCGATCGTCAAAACCATGTGGCTCAGCATAGTTGGTCTGATACGGCGCTGAGTTGGGTGGTCGGCGATCCAGGGATGATTCTGATCCAGCGTTCGGAACATTTCCTTGCTGCATGTATTGCGGAATCGCACTCGGCCTTCGCTCATGTTGCGCGGAGCCATATCGCTGCTGAACCGGACTAGAGTTCTGAGCTGGTACAGGCTGAGAATCTTGTAGCTGAGCATACATGCCATCGAGAGCAGAAGCGTCCACGGTTCGTTCCACGTTTTGATCGACATAGCGACCGTATTGGTCAACCGCAGGAGGCTCCTGGATAGGGAGATCCTGTTGAGACTCGCCCGGGCCGCTGTCATACTCCTTGCCTAGACCGATGGCGCGAGAAAAGGATTGAGGAATCAGAGAGAATCGTCGAGTGTGCTTCTCCTGGGACGTGTGAGAGCCAGTCATGCTGCCAGACCTCTTCTTTCCAAGAGCCAGAGAGAATGAGCGCCGTGACCGCTTCGAATCCATGGAAGGGCGGCCGGGAGCTTCGTCGCCACCGGGCATCGTGTTACTCATGCTGACAGGAGGATACTTCCTAGATTTTTCTGCGGGTTGTGGCTGCTGCTCAGACTTCTTGCGGTTCCTACCCCCAAACAAAGAGCCAGAGCGACCAAAGATCTTTCCGCCAATCTCACCAATAGTGTTGGATCGCTTGTGACCTCTGACCTCACCACCCTCGCCTTCGCCTGGAAAGCCAGAGACTCTGGCAAACTTGGAAGGAACATGGATGCTCGGTCGTCCATAGTCCATGTTCGGCTGGTCTTGCGGGATGGGTTCTGAGATATTGTAGCCTTTTACACCGGCTTTAGGTTGTTGAATCCTTCCGTGTACGTTAGTACCCGCAACTGTAGGGGGTATTGGTTTGCCGTACGAAACTCGTCCTCCTGCACCCAGGCCCATCGAGGCCGTTGAACCACCTGTAGCCGGTCGTCCGGTTGAAGCACCTGCAACTGTTGTCATGAAAGCAGCATCGGAGGCAGAACGTTGCCCATCGCGACTTGGTCGGGAAGGCGGCACATTTTGGTTACGATGTGCGCTCGGTGGTCGTCGCTGAGCTGCCGTCTTGCCGTACCCATCCCTTGACACGGGTGGGTCTCGAGGAAGAGGTTTGTCCTTCGTGAAAGCCGATTCAGGGACCTCCACAGGTCCCTGGCTTCCAGAGCGAGCTCTCGTCTTCGCGGGGGTGCCTGGCTGACTAGACGGCTCCCCACGTTGGGTCTGAGTGGTCGGTGCCACATATTCGACCTGGACTGTCCTACGCTTGTTATCTTTCTGCTGCCGAGCATAAGCAGCAGCCTCCGCTTCAGGATCAACAGTGCCCTGCTTTGATGCGAGACCTCCAAGAGCAGGAGAGGCCGCGGCCTTCTTGGAAGACTCCCGTACGGACGCGCTTCGGTTAAGCCTGACGTCGCTATCTTCTGCGGGAACGGTCGTATTCTGAATCTCGCCTGGCGTGGTAGTGCTGCTGGTGATGAACTCGACCACATGCGCATATTCGCTGAGCCAGCTGTGACGTGCGACCTCGAACAAGTCTGCGCGCTTGCGGGGGTTAGGTACTAATATCCTTCGGAGAAGGTCTCTGGCATGTGGCGTGACATATTCTGGGAAAGTTAGAGGGGTGTTGACAATGTACTTGTATAGAAGATTGATGTTATCGCCTTCAGGATTCGCTGGGTCATCGTCAAACGGGAGGTAGCCCGCCAACATGGCGTACTGTATGCGAGTATTAGTAGGGGTAATGCGAAAGGGGAGACTGGAAACCAACCAGAATTACGCCACAGCTCCAGACATCGACTTTTCGACCAGTGTACAGGGAATCGCTGACCACAAGCTCGGGCGCGGCATAACACGGACTACCACAGCTAGTCTGCATGAGATCTCCTTTCCTCGAGCCGTTGGCCTTAGTCTTGTCCAACCCCATGCGCTTGACAAACTCGCGATCTTGTAGATTCAGCTCCTCATCTTCAGTGAGTTCTTCGTTCGGGTCAAACGTGTTCGCAAAACCGAAGTCCGTAATGATGATGTTACGGTTCCGGTCTAGGAGCAAATTCTCGAGCTTCAAATCACGGTGGACAATACCCTTCTTGTGCAGGTAGCCAACACCAGAAACGAGTTGAGCGAACAATCGACGTGCAGCATTGTCCTTGAGATAGCGGTGATTTAGAATGTAGTCGAAAAGCTCTCCGCCAGATGCGTACTCGAGGACGATACCGTAATGCCTCTCGGACTCCTCCATCTTGTGTAGTCGGACTATGTTGGGATGTGTTAGTTGTTTTAGGATGGCAACCTCCCGCATGATCTTTGCCATGCGCGATGGGTTGCTACCCAGTTGATCTTTCTTTATTAGCTTGATGGCGACCTGCGGTCATATCAAATTAGCTTCATTCCTTTGGCCTCATATGTCATCGGTATCACGAACCTGAACACCGCCATCTTGCTTCCAACCAAGCTTAACTTTGCCAAACTCGCCTTCGCCTATTGTGTTTCCAAGGATGTACTCGCCAAACTTGGTATGCTTCTCCCTTTTTCCAGAGTGGTCATGCCTGCTTCGACCTCCTCGTCGAGCATCGTCGCCTTGATCGACCTGCGCAACGACTGGAGGTGGCGCGGCCTCATCATCGATCTCATCCGCATGGTGAGGTTGAGCTAGAGCAAGTCGTTCCTTCTCCCTCTCGATGTCGACTTCAGGTTGTGAAATCAGGATGCTGTTAAGAATCTCGCTCGCCTCGCGTGATGGGCCTTTCGAAGAGCTAGTAGTAGCTGTGCGTATCGGCACCGATGTGGAAGCTCCCGACTGCCTGCTGTCCCGGGTATTGCTCGAGGGTTGCCCACCGTGATGTGTCCTCCGACTCCGTGAGCTCTGTGCTGCAGCATCATCTTGGTAGATACCAGCATCAGCACTGCCGTTTGCGGCGGCGCTCCGCCTCGATGAGTTATTTGAGCCATCGGTTGCGTACGCCTGTCTTCTAGAGCTCGACCCGGCACCCGAGCTGCCCTGGCCATGCTGGGTCGAGGAGGTTCGAGGGGGCACCGCCGTGGGCATGTTCCTTCGACGGTCCGAAGGGGACGCGCGATATTCCTGAGAGCCAGCGGGTGCAACAGGCACGGGCGAAGTGATGGCCGTGCGTGAGTTCATTGGGGAATTGAGTGGAGAGGGAACGGGGTCGGTCGCGCTGTGTTTCCTGGACGATCGCTTCGACGATGATGGGGAGGCGGTGGAGCCCTGCTGGTTGGCATGATAAGCTTCACGTGTCGGCGATGAATGAGACGAGTTGTAGTGCCGGCTTGCCGGCGAGGCCGGAACCAAGGGCGGCGTGTTGAGCGAAGCGACGGACGTTGGTTGATGAGGCGCGGGCTGCAGAGCGGCAGTAGACGACATTTTCCACGCCGAAACGCGCAGAAAGTTGTTCCGGGCTCACTTCTGAAGCTGTTTAACCCCTGGAGATGCAGGTAGAATTCGGGGGGCAGATTGGGCTGAAGAGGAGATTCGCTGCAGGAGGGGGGAAAGGGAAGTTGTTGGCAGGTCCCCGATGTATGTCGGTAGGTAGGTAGACACTGGCGGGAAAGCGAGACAAGAACAGGAATTGCAAAAGCCCTGCAATTAATTGCCTGGATATACCGACAGCTGGGCAAGAGTCACCAATGGACCATACCAGTTATCATGGCGCACTGCGATTTGTTGTTTGGGGGTTGGATTTGCTGATCTCCTTTCGGTTTCGCCTCAGGTCTCCGTCAACATGCAGCCCAGACGCGACACCCGCAGCGAGGCCCAAAAAGCGTGGTTGTTGATTAGCCCGTTGACTAGACCACCCGCTCGCTGACGGGATGGGATGTTATGGGGGGGAGCGGATAGGGATAGGGGGGCGATACGGCCACGAATCGACCAAGGCGGCGCAGCTCGAAACCGACTGTCTCTGGGCGACAAAAGGACGGCCGCGATGGGGTCGTCGGTCGTCGGTCGGCGATGAGGCTGCCGAGCGCGTGGGCGGAGGAGGAGAGGGATATCGAGAGAAGAGTGAGGAGAGAAGGAGGAGGAGAATAGAGGTACGCCTTTGGAGAGGGAGCGAAAGTGGTAAGGCAAGGCAAGGTAAGTAAGGACTTGTCTTGGGGCTTTGGGGGGGGATGGGGCAGGTAAGGTCAGGTACGGGCCACTGAGCGGGAGTGGTAATTTCACGAAACGAGTCTCTCTGGCTCTGGCAGGTGTATCTTTGCCAGGTCTGCGATCACACGTCTCTCACCCTGCAATTCAGACAAGATCCAGGTATCTTTTGATTGGCACCATGGAAAATGGGCGACCACCAAGTGAACCAACTCATAGACAGAGCCCACTCCACTGTGTTTTTCAATGCTAAAATAAAATGCTCCTCGTTAATTTCGCGCTCTGGGGAGAGGCCAGGGTGTGGTCCCGCAACAAGGGACAAGGGTCCTTATTACTGCGTCGTGAGCTAAAGTAGGCAAGGTATGGTAGATCCTCTTTGCTTGCTACAATACCTTGAATACCTGCATTGCGCAGCAGTAACCTTACCTAGGTACGTACATCAGATAGATGTATGGGTTTTCAACTTTACCGGCTACCTAGGTAGCTATCGAATTATCTACATACACATGCAACAACCTTTTACCGAGACTCGTTGCTGCTACTTGAGTAGATCATCTCGACGCTTGTATCAACACGTGGTGGTATGGTAACAAATGCCGTTTAAATCGATAGAGTCGCCAGCTTGTCACCTGGATAGCTTCAGACCAGCGAGCCCTTGTTTCGGGCTAGAAAAGCACGCCAATCTCGAGGTACCGAGGCTTCACCACGACGACGACGACGATGATGCTGATGCTGATGCTGATGATGGCGGCCATGGTGCTACAACTCCTACTGAGCAGGGATTGAGCCGCCTTACAGTGTCCGTCGCATTGCTGTCCTGTGTGCGACGCGGCTCACAGGTCTCGGGGCGCCGGCCAGCTGCTGCTGGCATGCTCTTCCAAGGAGGGAGAGACGGTGAGCGCCTGTACTACGCTGCAAATGAGATCCGCAGCAGCAGGCCGTCGTCGAGTAGCACAAGTACGGCTCGCAAGTAGGGAAGTTGATGGTTAAACTGAAAAAAGGGGTTTGCAGCTACGGGAACAAGACCGACGTACCTATCTTAGCATGCAGTACCTGCAGGTGTGTCTTTTCTAGATGCCCTGAGCTGAGCTGGAGGTAGTACTCTCGAGTCTTTCAGCAAGCCATCTGATCTGGCGCTCGTCGTCAAGTCAAGAGAGCTGGAGTTATCGTCAACTTGATTGCCTCTGGCACTGAGATGCATAGCATAGCGCGCATACTCCGGAACGTAGGATCAATATCTCATGAATAGTAAGTATGCCCTCCACCTCAGACATCGCGTTCTCCACCCTACAGGCCGACTGCCATGCTCAGCCGGTTCCACATTGTTCGAGAAGCGCGATCAGCGTCATGCTGGAAAATTAGCCTCGCCTGTTTCCAAAAGCTTGGAGCCGGGATGAGAGCGAGCCAATTTACTCCAAGGAATATAGGCTTAGATTGCCGCCTCGCTCGCAAACGAAGGTCTGGAAACAACGGCTAAAGCAGTAGCAGCAACAGCAACAGTCCTGTCGAAAATTACGTAGCTGCAAGGCCCGAAGCCATCGGTCCATCCTCGCCCTGGCGTCCCTGAGCCTAGCTCAATGCAGACAAGGACAAGGGTCGATGCGTGGACCTTGATAGCATCTCTCGGCAGGCGGCCAATTCTGGGTCCAGATGGTCAGAAACATCGTGACCAGGGCAAGAAGAAACGAACGAGAAAAGCAAGACCTGTGTTTGTTTTAATGCATCCTTTCCCCCTGCAAGTCAGCTTTTTGCTGCGCGTCTTGTTCGTGATAGTGAGCGAGCCTTGGCACCTCGCGCGCGTTAGCACGCATGTGTGGGACTGGACGAGATGCTCCGTCCATTGAAAGCGTGTTTCAAGGCATAAAATGCCGTCGTTTCCAGGTTGTTTACTGGCCCTGACCACAAGGTCGTGGCTTCGCATTGACGTGGCATTTCTAGGCTGCTCGCTACTAGCCAACAGATTTCGCGGGAAGCCAGTGCAGCAGACTGTCATCGCAACCACAACTTGGGTTCTTGGGCACCTGCCATGCGATGAATGCGGCCTCTTGGAGAATGTGAGAACCATTGCATGAACTCGGTATTGATTGCAGGGAGCTCCACTTCATTCAACTTCATTGCCAGCGAACCGCTCACGAGAATCGGGCTGCTGATGAAGCTATCCTTCCAACAATCTTGTATGGCCATGGCTGTTTTCTAAGTTTTCCTCTCATGTTTTCTTTTTTCGTCCCAATTTCCTATTCAGCTTGATGGGCTGGAAGGAAAATCCTCAATTGGCTTGCAGAAGGATGACATCGGTGAGGCATTGAATTCGGAGATTGAGGCGTATCGACGTGCAGGGGTCTCCTTGCCATTCGCTCGTCTTCCGCTTGGTAGCTAGACGATCCCACAGTCACCACACTGGAGAAGCCCTCCTCTCCTTGCCTCCAACCGACGAAGGTAACATTATAATTCAGCCTTGAGCTATAGGTCCAAGAGGCTGGCCATAATCATACGCGACATATGTCATCCCTACAGTGTGTCTCTCGTCATTCAAGGTAACATGCCCGATGCGCATGCAGGGTACGTGATCAATCAATGCTTGTCGCAGATCCCATTTCCTACAATTCGGCAGCACGTCGCGCTGTAGCCGCGTCGGGGTCCGTCTACCTAACAACTTGCGTAAATTGACACGGAGTATCTTGCAGCTTCTCCGACGGCACATTGACGCGGGTGTCCAGCCCAATGGCATTACCCGGGTTGCCTCTTCCTTCCTCATGCTTCACAGCACCAGACCTGCAATGATGCAGCATGGACGACTTCTTTTGCAGCCATGGTTCCAGGACTAGACGCATCACACATGCTTAAGAAGTAAACCCCCCCAAGGGCACCCCCCTCCGAAACTTGACCCGAGTGTCTACATCTAGCAGAACCATACGTGTCTAGGAGCTAGTTCGTTCTGGTCATATAGGGCTTCGTCATTGGAACGAATATATCAATCTACTATTCAATGCGTGAGAAGCATGCGACCAAATTTCATTGGAATGCGCGACCTGGGGAATCGATAGCTGGCCCCATAGGTCGGGTACTTGCATTGGTTCCTGAAAAGGTCGCTCCTCAGCCCATTCAACGCCTGCCGCTTCCCGGATCCACGTTTCAAGTGTGAGGCTGCCTCCGCTGGCCAAATAATCTTTAGCCGGTTCGCGTGTCTCGAGCATAGCGGCCTCTAGTGTGCTCGCTGTCTCACAGACTCCTGGCTTCCTGAAGCGTCGCTTTAACATGTGTGGTATGAGCCCTAGCTTGTGTCCATTGAAGATATGGCCGTCACTTCATAGTTTGATTGAGATGTTGTACTTATCTAGCCCAACCGCAAATCCGGTAAGGATTGCACTATATGCGACAAGAATAGCAATTGTCGGAAGAGGTCCAACATCGAGAGTTGGAACGGTCAAGTTGACTAGTCCAGTCAAAAGATTGGCGACGAGAAACACGGCCAGGCCATTCCGATTGTACGCACGCAACACCGTGCTCGTTGCTGTTGTATACGCCTCCTTTTCGGCTCTAGCATCTTGTGCATTGTAGAACGCTGGGAATAGTAGGGTCTCGACGAGACAACAAGCGGTCAGTTGTACAGAGTTGAAAGAGACCACCCATAAAACGTATGGGAGGTTTGCTAGTCGTCGAGACACTGTCAAGTTCGCACCATAGCCGTACGTCGTAGACAGGAAATAGAGAGCCATCCAAACACAGCTCCATGCCGTCATCGTTAGGAGCAGGGTGATTCTCTGAGTGGACCCCTTGGAGTCACTCCGAGCGTTAAGACGTCGTGGCAGCACGTACATGCCTGCATCTTGGCCAGCCAAAAATATCGCGAGATATCCAATGAAGCTGAAGATGCCCTCTCTATTCATAGAAACCAAGTCGGTGCGTGGCGCCGTCAAAATGTACGCTTTGAGGTCGGTGCTTTCCAGGGCCACTTGATAAATGACAGCGAGCAGTATAGCAAGGGCTGCATACGATGGGATGATCTTCAATGCAGACTGAAAAGCAGCCACAAACGGCGGTAGGAGGCCAAGTGTGAAGAAAAAGTTCCAATGAACCCCATATTCCGTGACATGCTCAGCATAATCAAGTCCCTTGACGCTTAATAGGCGTATGACTCCGAGAACGAGCAACGGAAAGGAGTGGCGCATTGAATATAGAAGCCTTCGGTAGAGTGGTGTGGCGCGCCCTTCAGCACGCTCTTTGAGGACGGGACGTGCAGCAACGACTCCCGCAGAGTATACGAACGCGCCAACGCCAATGTCCATCAAAGAAGTGCCCCATGTCTCAACCTTGGCGAACCGCCGCGGAAATATTCTGAAATCGACTGCAAGAATCGCCAGGCACGTAGTGATCATCATCGAACCTCTAAACGAGGTGAGGAACGGTTTCGTTGACAAGACATCAAGAGGGGGTGTGGACGCTTTGGACTGGGCAGTCGGCGGAAGCTTGGGCTTCTTTCTCCGAGCTCCAAGATTTGTTGGGAGAGCATAGACAAAGATTGCCGGTGCAATCAGCAAGGCGTTGAGAAGCAGCGGTGTGCCGGCATAGAGAGTGAAGGCGAGCAGGATGGCCCCGACATTGATCATATAATCGACGACGAATCCGAGAACTGAGTAAGGCTTGAAAAACGATTGGCGGGCCTGCAAAACAGACCAAAGGAGGACAGCAACCTGTAACAAAGGTCAGCTCTCCGAGGTTTCAGCGTCAATGAGTGCCGGTCTTACAGGCAATACGGCGGTGACCGCGGCGATTTCGCTGACTGGGCCACCGGAAAGATTGGACACGAAGTCCTCTTTCAGCTGCTTGTAGCTGGCGGATGAGTTAGACATTCCGAGGCACTTCTTGTCAGGGAGTGGGATATGAAAGAAAGAAAAAAATCAGATTCCTCGGAAGTCAGGAGTCATGGCGTTGCGCAGTCGTGGCTTCAACGGAGTCAGGACAGATGGCCAAGTCGAGAACTGATCAACTTCAGCCTTGGAGTGGTCGCTCGTCAGAACTCGGCTGAGGCTCCCCTTACAGGGGCCTCCACCAGCCTATCGCGGCCCCAGCAGCCGTTACCTCAGCGTCACGTGCGCCCCCTTTGCACCTACATTTTCTTGACAAGTGATCTATGTCTTGCTATTTCCAGCGACTACGATGCATCTCCATCCTGCCCGTCGAAATGCGTTGTAACGCAGAATCCTCGGCGTGGCGAAGTTAGTTTCTTTGTTCTCAGCTCCCTTTCGGCCGGCGTCGGGGAAGGTTACGTATGACACATGTTGCCGTTTCTTTGTTCTCCTGCTGTCCCGGCAGTCTGGATATCTGCCCGCTTTGTCGCCCAAGTGGTCTGACTTCCCCGGCTCGTCTCCCCCTATCCCGTGGCCATTTACAATTGATGAAGCCTTTGATTGTTGGAAATGAGAAAGCTACAAAAGAACCAGGGTTGTGTGCTTGGCTTTGGGCTCGTCAAGAGATGAATCCGCCGCATTCCCAACAAAAATTCTCAAGTTGGCCGTGCTTGAATCTTCAACATTTTACTTCAATTAGTCCGTCATGGAAGCAAAGGATCGAAGTCGACCCATCTTGGAACCTATTTGGACTGAATACCACAATCTTGGCGGGTACCCTAGGACAGCTTTCCGAGTGGCTCGTACTCCGGGGTTCTCAGCATCACCAGCATCGCCCAAGACTCTCCCAAGCCCAATGCATCCAGACACTCCAATTTATGACTCGTCCGTGAGGAACCACGAGGCTGCTATGGTTGACAGCCTCGAGAGACGAGGATCGACAAGAAGCCGGTCTGCATCGAAAGTCCTGTCTCCTATTGTGGAACAACACGCCATGGCCGCGAGGCTTGAGAGCTTCTCCATGAACAGCCCAACAACCCCACGAATCCCAAGGCCCCCTCAGTCAGCTCCTGTCAGCCCAAGAGGCCAAACTCTAGTATCAGAGACAAGATCGCTCCTTCTTTCAGGGGTGCCTCGAACCCAAGCTAGTACTTTGGCTGCCATGGTGGATCGAAGACAGTCTGCCCCTGCAGAAGTCATCGCCGAGCATCGACGACGCAGCCAACTACTTCTTCGCCACCAGTTGCAGGCTTGGGGTCACGTTCATTTTGGCAATGCCTCAAAAGCAGACATCTTCGTCGCTGCTGTCGCCTTCCGGCGGTCGAGTGAGGTCTCACTTGGTGGCGAGGACGAGGAGGCAAAGCCTTCGAGTAGCCGCACGGTTCGGGCACGAGTTCGACCAAAGGCCTTAGATAGGAAACCCTTCCTTATCCAGCGGACCTTTGACCTCAGCGAGATGCGATCCATTGTCCCACAACCTACGAGCCCCTCGACCATGCCCCGACGGCCGTCATTGGATATCGCTGCGCGTGCGGCTCATCAAGGTTCACGCCGGCGATCTGTCAGTGTCAACCCTCAGTCCCCCGGTCGAGTCTTGCGGTCTGCAAGCAAACAGGAGGCTGCTCGTAGCGCAGCCCGCGGAACCAAAGAGATCCCCATACGTAAGTTGCTCCCCGCATTCCTGGGGAATACTGCTAGGATCGAAGCTAACCATTAACAACAGATCTGGCTTACGCACGGTCTCATCTACCTATTATAGCCTCTTTCATCATGTCTGGTCATCTGCGGCAGGGAGATATCATTGATATTCCTCTTCCACACCCAGAGGCGTGGTACCAGACAGTAGCATTCGTTTATACTGGTCAGGGAGAATTTACGGATGCAATCAAGCAGAATATCTTGCATCTTGGAGGAAAGGTCTAGCCACATATAAACGTTGGCTCAATGCTTCACGACAGCCGGTGACGGCGGACTCGCATTCGAATTTGTTCAGTCACAGCAACGATCACTGCCGGGTGGCACATAAATTGGAACAAAAGCAGATTTCATGTAATACTTGTTCACTTGCTTTGTTTGTTTGCTGGTCTGAGGTATATATGCATATCATCGCCATTGATTCAGCTCATTAGTTTCCACTAGCAATCTATCCTCACAATCAAGGATTATCAATAATATCCATTCCCATACTACGTTAAGCTTGATCATGAAGTATTCATATTAGGGTTGCGACTCGTGACTTCGCCGGACGGTCCGGACGGAAACAACCGCGTCTGGAACGACAGCCAATTTTCGTGACATATCATACCATGGAAGTCTGGGGTTCTGGTCCCATTCACTTCGACCAGTGTAATTATCAGAACTGCTTGTTAGCGGAGCTTTAGTCCCTGGCGCGATCTAGACTGCATCAAATAAAGTTACGGTGCTTCAGGTAGCTGGTAGGTGCGACTTTTATTTCATGGTGTAACCACGGCGTGTTGTGAGTCAAATTGAACGCGCAAGCCCGTCCCTTCCGAGAACGGCTGTTACGGAAAACACGATTAGGCGTCTTTACCTTATATCAAGCACAACCCCAGTACCAGACTCCATTTGCACAACATCACCTTCACGACTCACACCTTGTCTGCAATACTCTCCATGATCGTCTCCAATGATGACTGCATATCGACAGCTCATCATACGAGATTTCTGCGAGACAGACAACATCGCAGCTAACGGACCATGGGCAACGCACCGCTTATATTGATCAACGGTTGGCCTGGCGTCGGTAAACAAACCGTCGCGGAGATGTTGGCACTTCTTCTTGGGGAGGACAAGGCACACCTCGTCGACGACAACAACTTTGTTGGCACCGTCCATCTGCCTCATGGCCACCCTGACTTTGAAAAGTCAAAGAGGGAGGATCGAGACACAGCATTCGCCAATTTTGTCGAAGATGCCTCCTCACTAGGCAAGATCACAATCTTTACCGACTGCCAGGCGGATACCATTGAAGGACGCAGCGTTGCTCAGGAGTATGAAGCAACTGCGGCACGCAGCAACCGCGCTCTCATCCCCATATACCTGGATTGTCAGCTAGAGGAAAACCTACGACGGGTCCAGACGCTGGAGCGCAGGACGAGCCTGAAGGACAAGATCCGCAGCCCTAAGGAGGCCCGGTCTGTCCGCAACGAAGGCGGTCGCCTCTTTGTTTTCCCTGACCACAATGGCCTGACTCTCAATATCACGAACATGGCGCCCGGCGAGGCTGCCATTAGTATTCTTGGCTTCATGAACGACGAGATAGCTCGCAGAGATACTGAGCTCGCAAATGCCGAAACGACACCTCTGGAAGGGCAGGAGCCGGATTGGTTACATCTGGATGCAAGATGATTCGCCTATGCCACCCACCCGGATGTCATCCCGCGAAATGCATACTGCGATTCAAAAAGAAAAAGTATCATTGGGTCAGCAATGAAGGCCCCGGGCATATGCCCAAGGAAATACCGGTCCTTCACACCCAACGAACAATAGCAATTAGGTTGGGTGCAACCCGGCGCAGTGGCATGCAGGCTGGCTGCCACCCCACGCCACTGGACAGGCACGTTGATAGTCTTGTTAAACTGATATATGAGAGTTGTCATGCAGTTGACAGTCATCTCGACCGTGTTTGCTGTGGATTCTTAGGAGGATCTCGATCATGACCAGAAACGGCTGGCAGATTCTGCCTGATATGGTGAACGTTAAGTCGGACTCGGAATGAGAGCAGGACGACACAGCCAGAGCTTCGATCAAAAGGCGATGTTGATTCTAAATTGAAGTTGCCAGGACTGTTTATTTATGCTAGACTTTAAGAAAGCATTCATATTGGACATCAGACCTAGCCTCTTATACCAACTCAGTTGACGAATAGCTGTCTGTCTGTGGAGCAAAGTGAATTTCTTAGTCAAGTCAAAGCGATTGACTACTGTATTTTGCCGGTGCTGTTCAGTGCCATGGAAGTTGTCTCGTGGTAACAACTACATTGCCAGCTTTTCTCGTATCGAGGCCCCATTCTCGATCTCGTGCATCAATGTCTTTGGCATCAATATCGGCACTTGTACAACATCTCATGGCTCTCCTATGACTGGATAATTGTTGCAAAGTTCAGAACGCCACACATCCCCTTATTTCACAGGAGAAGGCCTTCAATGGAACCAACAACCGGCCACTGCATGCAGAGACATAAAATAGCAGCACTTAGCAGCCCACACCACCACTATCACCACCACCACCATTACTACTACTACTATCACAGCCTGCATTCACTATAGCACACCCCCCCTTCCTCACAAAGGCGTTAGGGTCCCAACATGCAAGCAATTCTGCATATAATGCACGCTCAGACAGCGCGCACCCACCGTGCCACTTTCTCAAATCATCCCTCCACATCCCGTACCGTGGGGGTGTCTTTCTGGGTTGTTGCAGGCGGCACAGCCAGGTGAAAAAGCACAGTACCTACACTTGTGCACTTCTTGGTCGACAAGGTTGTAGATGTCTCTTGTATGTAGGCAATTATTATGTGACAATGTGCTCTGCACAAGTCATGTCTTGTCTGTCCAGTCAAGTCTCCAATCTGTATACTCTCTAGTAGTGTAGAACGGACTTTATCTGCGAACAGGATGGCTCTTCTGCATAAGTTGTATAAGTGACAGGTCATTTTACCTCAGCAGGTTGTGAGTGTGCAGAATTAGCATCATCTCAATGTTACACGTAGCCTCTCTGGCCATTCTAGAAGCTGCTTCTGGTGATGTGACACAAGGACGATGATCCGGAGCGATGGCCCGGGGGAGCTTCGGAGAAGACGGAGCGCAATGAGGGAAAGGGGGCAGACAAAGTTCTCCGTCGCTCGTTTCGAGGGATCGGCCGCGCGGCGATCTCTTCCGGGGCACATCGGCGGAAGTGGAAATGACAACATGGAAGTCCGTGGCCGTCAGCATGCGAAAATCTTCCTCAGCATTGCAAAATGTGAAATCCTGGTGCATTTGTCAACGGCTAGCTTATGCAGTCACTTATTACCTCCTTTGCACGACTCGCTCCTTCCTCTCGCCTTCGTGCACTTGATGAGTACATCGAGGTACTCTGGCAGCATCTCGAAGGATGAGTAGTAACCTTTCCTGGGACACATGCAGTCTTTTTCACGCTCTTACTCAACCCCCTCCACAACAGCTTTTTTTGAACATCCCGATCCGTTGAAAATGCCTGATCTTTACGTCAGTCCAGTCGGCCGCTGTCTAGTGATTACTACATTCTGCCGCCAACCTCTCGCCGGGGAAGCAAGTGTATATGCAGCAACGTGGTAGTTGACGGCCTGGTGGTGGTGGTGGTGACCAGCACACATAGTGACAACCCTCTGGTGCTGGCAGTACTGCTGCTGCTGCGAGTGGATGCGATTCCCACATTGCTAGCCCGCCACACTCGACGCAGGCGGTTCTGAACGGGGTTAGAGGGGGTGTATTATGTCTTCTTCCAGTGCAACAACCATGCAGTAAAGTAGCTCCACGGCCGAACTTGCATGTAGCGGCGCTTCTTCGATTAACAGCCAGTAATGACCTTCTATATGTACGGTACAGTACATGACGGTGCAGCAGTAAAGATGCATGGTACCTATTTCTGCCCGGTTTTTTTTCTGGCGATAATGCAGCCTAGAGATGGAAAGGGCAATCCGAAAGAGCCCCAGCATCATCATCACCAAACTACATCATCATCGTCGATGACTTTTGGAGAAAACAGGCTGGAAATGAAATGCCGAAGAGTGAAGATCATAACGACATTCTCGTCATCCCGATTCCGCAACTGAGTTCTGAAAGAAGCTCAATTCGACTGGGATGTGGGGAACAAGCCGGCTGGATCACCACCTCTGTCGAGTCTAGCTCTATCACTCAGCCTCCTTCAGAGCACAGACAAACGGCTTCAGTGGATACCCCATCCAGTACGATGAGATGGAGATCGATCCATGCAATTGAGCCTTCCGCCCTGTCCGGCCGAGGCCCTCTTCCTTGTCTTGTCCTGCCTTGCCGTGCCGTGTGTGCATCAATTCCATCATCAATATTGTCATCATCATCACTCATCATCAGTAATATGTGGTCCTCCTTTCCCTCCTCGTACGTACGAAATGCTGCATCTGGCGCATCCACCTACATGCAGAAGCCGAAGATGGATACCGATTTCACAGGGTTTCTCTCTCTTCTCTTCTCTACCTTGCGTTATGTAGGTAGTGTCAGAAGAATGCACATTGCTTTATCCCGCACCCACGGGGATGTTTGCTTTTTTCTCTCTTCCCATGTTACCCCCCCTCCTGTGGCTCGACATTTCTTCTTTCACGTCAACTGCGGCATCTCCCATGTGCCTGCACTTGTGCGTGTCCCTGCATACGTGATCTACTCCTGTGAATCTTGCTCGCTTGCACGCCTGGCGAGCAATCGTTGTAGCACCGGCTTCTGCGGCTGTGTAATAAGGAAGACGCCAACCGAAATGGAAATGCTACTGTGGCAGCCTCGCACCACTCGACGCCGGAATGGCACGACTACAGTATGATGAGCGAGCGAGCGAGCGAGGTTCCCTGCACGGGCATAGTTCTACCGCAGTTACCCTGGGAGCCCCTCCACATGCAGCTGCTGGGATTGTCCGACGATACATCGACGCCGTTGTTGTTGGCTTACTTCTATTACCCCGCGACAGAAAGACGCACTTGCGAACGAAGCTGCACATAAAATTGCACAAAAGCTGCCTGTTTGTCCGTTGGACGCTCGCTGAGAGGAGATCTCGGAGTCGTCTTGACTACTCCGGTATATGGATGCGAGGCTTTACGGCTAGGTGGAGGCGCTCAAGTGCTGTATTTGCTCCACGCGCTCCCCACATGAGCTCCGAGGGGCACTAATTAGCCAGGCTTGAGGTGGAAGCCAATACGGCTTTTCCCCTCCCCCTCAGCTGAGTAGGAAGTTGTGCTGCCACTCTTGAGAGCTTGTGAGCTGGGCCGAGAGTGCCTCGGCGAGCTTCTACTGGTCGACACCGAGGATGCTGACTTTCAGTTCATGCGCCTATCCGCAACACCAGACAGTAGCGCCGCCCTCTGGCCAGGCGTTGTTCCTTTGGGGGCCCATGGTCTGGTCTGGTTGTAGGCTCGTACAACACCCACTAGGGACGGCCAGGCCAGTCAGCAGGCCCAGATAGGTCATGAGGAGGCAAAACGGGCGCCCCTGCTCTAAGAGCAAGGAGCGGCGATAGACGAAAGCGTAGTGTAAGAGGACGGAGGAGGAGCCCATTACGATTGCAACCCTCAGCGCCAATCCTCTCGCGATTCGGGAACCCTGATCAATAAACAAGCCCACCAGTTCGTCAATTGCAAAGAGAAAGTGGGCAGGGAGTCTGCAAGAACCCCACCCCTCGACCGGCGCGTGCATGTTGCAGGATGCAGGTCCAAGAAGAAAGAGTTAAGCGCGGCGACGAAGGATGGCTGGGAGGGGAGATTGAGCCTAATATATTGGCCATCTTTCGAGAGTGTCCTTTGCGTAGTAGTTGGTTACTGGTAGGGAGTCGGGTGTGTGTCCGCTAAAACGTAAAAGGCTCTCCTGTTGTCTGTGGGTAAGTTAAGTTGAATGGGCCAAGCCGTTAAGTTAGCTTCTCATGATTTAGTGTGCTGCACTGCACAAGGAAGTTAGTGAGTTGGTTAGTTGATATCAGACGGGCTCTTATGATCTCCACCTCGCTCTCTAGCTCTGCAACTCAAATCCAGTATAGTTGTTGGCAAGCCGTCCGGGAGCGGGCAAGATCGAACTCTGAAATCTGCGGATATTCCTCGCTAGTGCATGCCGGCCTGCTGAGGCATAGCCATCGCGTGTATCGTAATCAGCCTGCAGGTGGTCCTCGCGCAGGTCTACCCTTACGCGTAAGGTTGGAGTTGGCCTTCAGTGGGCCCCTGTGTAAGAGACGAGGTGTGGACAAGGCGTGTCTGTAAATCGGCGCCGTTTGTCTCTAACCCAGCATCGTTGAACCGATCAGTGCCGCTGAAGAGGTCGTCCCGCAGCAAAGCTCGGCTTTTTCCTTCTTGGCCGTTTGGATCCAAGGCATTGTCTTACTCTTACGTGATGCCTCGCAACCTTGACAAACGGCTAACTGCCTTGTGATCCACGCCTGGCGTGCACGTGTGGAAAACCCGTTCAGAGTCTTCGTGCCGAGTGACTCGCGTGTCAAAGAGCATCTGTCGAATCCCGCGCCGTCGTGGCATCTGGCAGGTTAGCCGGCTCATTCGGCAATACGTCAGAGTTGTTTGGATGCGGTTGGAGGTGGTGTGGTGATGTAGCCTCATCAGTCGTCCTGCAGGGCTGCTTTGAGCAGACGAGATGTGAGAACTAGCAGCGAGCGCCCTTCGGATTCGCCAATGGCAGCCGCCTCCCTGGGATGGCACTTGATCTGTCGTATCTTGCATATTGAATCCGCCGTCAGTGCAGTGAGTGCGAGACCTTGGCTCATGCTCCTGTCGAATTTTCGTGAGGGTGTGTGTGCTCGTACCTGTGCCAGGTGTGGTGGGTAGCATGATTCAGGAAGGCGGCCATCATTGTCCAACCACCTCGAAGGAAAGACTCCTCGTTCACGACCTCGCAACCGCACACTGCGAGGTCTGCCCTGAGCCGGCGACTGCAGGCAACGAAAGCTGAGAAGAGCAGAAGCCGATGACACTGGGGCCTAGTGTCGTGTGAGACATGCATTCGTCGGAAGTGGACTTTCTACTCACCTCAGGGAATTGACGACGCCCTACTGCACTTACTGGCACTACCAGTCTTAGCACCTTGGAGCAATGCGCCCTCGCCTAGAGCTGCGGCTGTAGAGTACAGTGTAAACAGATCTAGTGAGGGGCGTGGCAATAGCGTCTCGCGATGGAGGCATGGGAAGGGGAGGTACTCGCAGGGTACTTACTTCCTTGGTCTGCCAGGTGTGCCAATTCAACGCCAACAATGCCCATATGCCCTTGTTCAAGTGTTGAAGAATAAGGGACTTGGCCCGTTCCCACCACCAATCTGCGGGGTCATCCCATCCAACTGTGGAGCTATTCATGGGTGGTCCTGGTCAGTCTCAAAATAGGAAAGATTTGTACCTACATACATGGCACTACGCGGTACATTACATTACCACATACCAAATACCACACACCACCACACCATACCTACCTCAACACACATTTCCACAGCTTATGCCCGTAAGGTAAGATAGCGATGGACGCCCGCCAGGCGTCGGCAGGAAGCAGCAGCACAGATAGCGGAGATGAGCCGTAATCAATCTGACGGCAGAGGGGGTGGCCCCTCTGCAATATAATACGCGGCACTTGGGGTGGATGCTGGACTGCTGCTGCTGCTGGATAAATTAAAATTGCTGTCCCCGTAGACGGTGCTTATCTCGGCCTGGCAGCCGTTGGATGGGAGGTGACGACATTGGCCATGGATGGCCGGCCTATGAGACATGCTGAAAAGAGCCTCTAGCCTCAAATAAAACCACCACGACGATCCAGGGCCGAGTGCTGCGTAGGACGAATCGAATCTCTGCCGGGAATAACTTTTGTGCAACGCCGTTGGCTGGGAGATGTTCAGCCTTTTCCTACATAGTACGTGCATAAGGGCAGAGTCCCGTTTGGAGTCGTCTATCGTCTATCTGCGGTGTCACCAAGGCACAAACCAGATCTTCAATACGTAGTTGCAGCCCCGATCCATATCAAAGACTGGGGAGGGGAGGTGAGGGGGGCCAAGCTTGGTGTTCTGTCCCCCTCCCGACTAACGTTAGTCTCGCTGCTATCTATGTGTCGATGGCGTGCATATTTGGTCTCGGGATCACCTACGGCTAGTCACTCGCAGCGCTCGTCCTGACCGGGGAACCTCAATGCAGATGTACCAAACCGGCAATCCGCTTTACCTCATTCACAGACATCTCCGTCACGATTTCACTGATGGAGAATTAGGACACGGGGCGCAAGTATAACGATCATGATGATAATCATGATGATGATGAATGGTGGATGATGGATGCTCTTTTGAGAAGATGCTCTATGGCCATTTACGGCGCCAGTCTATGCTCATGTCTCATCCTCGCCTTTTTGTGCTGCTGAAAGAAGAGCTGCCGAAGCCAGCTTGGTCGTGTCATGTCATTCCATGCCAGGGTTTCCCTCTGTCCCTCCGTTCCATACGCCGAGGCTGCCTATAGTCACGCTCCCAGAAACGTGTACTGTGGGAGGGTCCCTGCATCGCCTTTTTTGGGGGGTAGTCATTACACTCAAACAATCCTGATAGTTTCCGTCCCTGGAAAAAGCCCTTGCCGTGCCTGAAAATGAGTCGAGAAGTAAAAAAGAAAGCGAAGCTTTTAAGGGCCGTAATGCCGCAAACTTTTTTGGTCAAGTGCAAAGAAGTGAATACCCGCAGAGGTCCATCGTAAAATGATAGCCCCACGATCACCAAATGGTTGAAATCGTGCCAAGGGGTCTTAAAATCAAACGCATATCCATGATCGGGAAGAGTGCTGTTGTACCTCCTGCCCAATGCCAAAGTCCTGTCGTCATAAGCCATAGAATTCGTGAATGCAGATGTGTGTCCCGTAGGAAATGGCCGGTCCATGAAGTTCTAGCCGCGGGAGAATTAGAGGAAACTAAATCCAATTAATCCGACACATCTGTGTCAACCTCCCATGCCGTGGACTTCTCATGCGGTTGTCGAGAGGGCAAAGTCATACGGCGGTGAGTCTTGTAGCGCACCAACTCAAGCCCCTTGCCTGGAGGTGTCGTCATGCTAACACTGCGCTGTGGGCGTGTAAGTCGCTGTTTGTCATGCTCATCGCCATCAGCTCGGCTTCCCCAGGACGTCTAGATGTTTGTTAGTGATTGCGTGTGGATAGGAATGTGTCACTGGGTATCCCTACCATCTTAAGAGTGAACAGGGCATAAAGCTTGATGAAGCCGTGGAAATACCCGAAGAGGATAGATACGGGTAGAAACATGATATCGCTGGGATTTCGGAGGAAGAGCCCCATAAGCTTCACAACCTTCGTGAATGCGAACATGAAGATGAACTGCGCCCAGAAAGCTCGATTGCGGCTCACTGGATCCCAATCTCCAGTCGCGCGCCAGCAGGAGTAGAGGATAAGCGGATCAGAAAACCATGCGATTGAGGTGAATGTAGCGAAATGGAGTGCATAGCAGCACCACAGTTGTTGACTAGAACATATGTTAGACGGCTCTTTTCATATAGAGGTTTAGTTATTGTGAAGCAGTAAGAAGCAAGAAGTGAGCTATGCTCTGTTGGACACATACCGCCAGACGTAGCGTTCTACGAAGAAGCTTGTAAAGTTGCTTCGCCAGTTGCTCCTCGCCCATCGAGAGCATTGATAGAGGAATTTCATGCCATTCTCCAGAGTCGTCTCGATCTCACACTCGCGGTTGTATTGGATCCACGTCTTCCACTGGTGGCTCACTAGCCAACGAGTAACGAAGTTGTCGTCATCAGCATTGAGGATGTATTTGCCCCAACGTTCCTTCTGGAAGCCATCAAGGAACTCGGCGCTCTGAAGGATCTCCGAACGGTAGGCTCCAGTGCGTCCAGACATACAAGATGTGCCGCCGTCGATGTTGTGAGTGGCCGAGATCTCGAAGTTTCTGCGCTCAATGTAAGCGGCTCCCAACCAGTTGAAGATCCTGGTCTTCCAAGGAGCGCCCCACTCTCGTCTCACTCGCTGACAGGTTCCCACACCACCTATCTTGGGACCATGCTTGGGATCCTCAAACGGAGCCAGAATCCACGGAATGAGAGTCTTTGGCCAGGTGACATCGTCGTCCGCCATGATGGTGATTTTTGTGGTCACCTCCGGAAGAGCGGCGCAAACCTGCAACCGCTTATTCGCGATCGAGGTGCTGAGAACTCGGATTCGGGGGAAATCCAGAGACTTGGCCAGTTTGTTCAAGGCATCAACTTTACCAGAAGTGGTCACAAGAATCAACTCGTAGGGCTTGCAGGCAAGGATGCTCTGGAGTGAAGGACGGAGCTCCTCAAAGGCATTGTGAATGGTGGGGATCACAACTGTGACATCCTTGGCTGTGAACGTTGGATTGGCGGGGATAGCCTTCGACTTGTATATCCAATGGCTGATACAGTGCACAATCAGACGAACATATCTATGAGCCCTGGATTTGCCATCAGTCATCAATAAGAATAGAACCTTGGATGGAACTGGGAGGCCACGAGTTCCTTCCAGTTTGGGATAAGAGCGTACCAGATAATGCAGAAGAACCAGAACCAGAATCTTGTTGACTGTAGAAAGTCAAGATTGGGACAGAGGAAGTTCGCTACAGGTCCTATGAGGGCCCAAGCAGTGGAGTGCTCCTCAGATGTAGCCATCTCCGAGTTCGGGTTGGTTGCCATCACACCTCTTGCTTGCCCGGTGAAGGCCTGTGGGTGAGAGTTGCTTAACAAGATCTCAGAAGATAAAAGATATCTAAGGACCGATGAGAGAATTTATTGTTTCCAACCAGGCCTGGTCGGAGGGGCCACAGTAGTTTTGAGTGTAGGGTGTGTCACGAAGTGAATTTTGTCTGAGGTTGTTTCCGAAATGTAAACCTTCACTTGGGAAAAGTGTTGACAGACCGGGCGACTGATAAGGGAGGAAGCCTGGTAGCTGGCTGATGATATCCTTCCAACAAGCAGAAGAAAACTCGATATACAGACGAGGAGTGAATATGAGGGTAGGGTCGGAGAAATCAGCAGGAGAGGTCTAGGAAAACAGACGCGATACTCCTAGGTGGGCGTTGTGTGCGTTCACGTGCTCGGGGCAATTTTTTTTCCCTGAGGAATCTTGAGTCTAAAGATCAGACGACCAAAGACCAATATGAGGCTTGTTCGTGCCTTTCCAGTGCTGCTGAGCTGAGTTCAAGGAAACAAACTAGAAACCTGAACGAACGACACAGCAGAATGACAAAGACAAGAGCATCAGCACCCTGAAAGAGGACAGGTGCCAGGAGTCCAGGAATTGCTCACAGGAGGAGCAAGTGGATAATATACAGGAGACAGCACAACCGTCTCAAAAGAAACAAGCCATTGTAAGGACCAATTGGTCTCAAAGACAACAATGACACAAGGAAACAGCAGTCGTGGTGATCCCCACGAGGCAGACTGGGGGCGAGGGGGACCAGGAGCTATATAGCCAGATTCTAGTCGCCTCACCCCCGATGCGATGCGGATGGGGAAGCTAGCAAGGAAACATAAGGGTAGATGTACTATACGGGGACTGCATCGAGAGATGCTGCGCTTGCTGTGACGAGCCCGCAGGGGGTGGGAAGTAAAGTAGCGCGAACCAGAGCACATAATCTCAGATTCTACATGACGAGTACGTCTATTCACAGGCAAAGTACGCGGCAATGGCGAGGTAATGAAAAAAAAGTGTACAAGTCGAGGTTGATGCAGAAGACAAGAGACCAGACGTGGATAGGGCGAGACGGCGGGTACAATTTGATCATTTATTACCTGCATTCTGTAGCAGCAGGGTAGTGGGTGAGGGGCGTCTGCAGCACAACTGGGGCTCCGTTCCTCATGGGGTACAGTATCCCTTGGGGAGGGGCGTGGATGTGGAAAAGTGGCCGCATCGGCCTCTTGAGTGATACTTGCCGTGGACAGCGGCAAGATAGGCCAGCATGGGCAAGGTACCAATGGACGAAGAAGAGGAGGAGGAGGAGGAGGAGGAAGACAAAGAGACCAACTAATAACGACTACTGTACTGTACCTCTCCTCCTTCCAGGTTGTCCAGTGTCGTTTGTCGACTTACTCTGCTTTAGCAAGCTTATTAGGTCGAGTGTGGCCCCGGCAGCACCTCACCCTCACCAGGATGCGGAGTCGGGCTCAAGGGTGTCTGCTCCACCACACCTCTGTACTTTAATGAAGGCACAGGTACCTGGCAGTTACCTTCGCCTCTTCTTGCCCTCGGCTCCCGTCGAGCACAATACCATCGTCCTTTGGTTCTGTGAGTGGGCAGAAGAGGCATACATGGCGAAGCTGAGCATACCTGTTTGAGTGCACAAGATGCAATGTGCATTCCTTTGCGGGCAGTGTGAAGAGTAAAGATTCGTTGAGAACGTTAATCAGCCCACCCACGACGAGTCTAGACTTCGAGGCTCCGCACTCGAATCAGAGGCGACAGAGGCGATGTGATATGCTGAACCGCAATGCAATAGCCTCTCTAGAGTGCGGAGCAACAAACTACTGCTGACTTAGAGTATACGTTTGCTGAAGCCTGCCTTAGCAGCCGCCTAGCCTGAGCGACAATGAGACATCAGGACACTGGCTCTTCACATGGCCTGCTCGTGCGGCCAGTCAAGGTAAGCCCACCAACTGTGGCATCACCTTGCCCTGACTGATCTTGTCCACAGCAGCCAGGTAACTCTTTGTATCGGCGCTACGGGCAGTCTAGCTCGAAGCGAATCAGACGACGAGGCAGTGTGGTGGGGTTTCCATTTGACGCTGTTATTTTAGACAAGCACGGCGCTTGCTTCGGCCTGTAGCGCTGATAGGGAGCTAGATAGGTGTCCATCTTCCCTGTCGTCAATTCCAGTCTCTTTGCCGTGATGAGCGCTCTATCCTTCTCCACAGCTTAGAAAGATGAGCTTGCTGGTTGATCGAAAGGGCCTCATGGGTCAATGGTGATGAGTAGGCTTTGGAGAGAGCGGCAAAGACATCACAAGATCAGCGCTTCTATTGATTGTTGCTCAAGTGGCCTGGAACGCATCAAACGCCACAACTAGTCGAATCAGATGAAGTTGGCTAGGATCCCCGCAACGAAGCTCAGGCGTGCCTTGTCGTGTACTTACATTGGCAGGGAATGTTATGCTGTAGTGGAGTGAGGCTAAGATACAAGGGCCGGAGGGGACGGGCGGGGTGCGCGGAAGAGTTGGAGAAAGAGGCGATGCAGGTTGCATTTCTCTTCGCATCTGGTTACCAATAGAGTCTCCGCCGAACGGAATGAGAGGCAAAAGCGTTCCCTAGAGAGCCTGGATGGCGAGCCGAAAAGCCATGTGGCTTTTCAAGCCGGCCTCTTGCAATTCGAGTGCTCCCACTCAGCAGCACCATTGCAAATTTCTCGGATCAAGCTGGATAATTCCAGGTTACAGCAACTAGAATGTCAACAGATCACTTTCACGCCGCCGTAGGACAGAAGATTTGAGCTCCATCACGGATACTCGGGGCTCACCAGCTTGTATGCCCTTGCCTTACGACATGCGGGTTTTTCTTCTGGACTTTGCATTATCCTATCCGCAGTCTTCACCCCTAGCATGTTTCCCGCTTGTGGCTCTCCCATGCAGGTACAACCGCACAGGTCACTTTTTGAAGGAGCGTTACGTTGCTGACAGTGGAGGCGTCAGCACAAGAACCGTTGAGCCATATTACCACGCAGTATTCTGGTTCTGTCAGTGTTTCTGATATCTGATTCTACCCATTGACACTCGGTGCACGCTCCCCCTCTGCACGCATCTGAGAAAGCCTTCCCGATCTTGAGCCGTGATTTGTACTCGTTAGTAATAGGTGAACGACCTGCCGCATTTCGACGGGTCTTCCGACAAGGTTCCTCTCCCACGCCTACATATGCTTCTAGCGATGCTTGAGTATCCTTGTTCGATAACGGGCATGGCCGCTGCACAATGGCAGCAAATCTTGCCAGTCGCCATTTGGCAATTCCTTGTCAAGATGTGCATGCATGTCATCTATCTGTATGGCGGCGGCGCCAACAGAGCTGCGAGCTGTGCAGGACGACGCTGCAGGTTCTCCTGAAACAGACCGGCTTGAAGAGCATTGCTCTCTTGAGCGAGAGGAGGCGTGTGTGAAGAGACCGAAGCACGACCGGTTGAGAGCCGAAACTGCTCCAGGACTGCCGGACCTTCTGCCGGCGCTGTCTTCGCACATGCCAACGTACTTATAAGCCTGAAGAAGTAAGACGAGTTGCCCGAGGGTGATGCTGTTAAACAGGCCGTCAATGGATGGACCTGTCGTTTTGGAAGTTATGAATACAGCTTCCTCGCATCATGCAGAGTGGGCCAAGGGACTTATGACCTACATTACATGACAGGAGGCGCAGGACATCAGATCACTGTACTCACTTACATGTAGGCCATCACTGGCTGTGCGCAAGGAATAGACTGCAGATAGTTATCCACCATAGCAGATACCGGCAAAAGTTTAGGCGGCAGCCACGGAGCTTCGGGGGCAAGGGCCTGGAGACGTCTTTTGACTCGTCATATTCTTCGAAGGATTAGCTTGCAAGCTGCAGACGTTGCGAGAGAAAAAAAATATTTTGCGCCGGTCAACGCGGCCGTGGGCCGATTGGCATTGCGAAGCATGCCCGCACGGGACACGGGAGGGTATCGACTCGCTCAGCCAAGAAGGCCGAAGCGCGGCGCCTGCGATATGTCCTTGTCCGGCTTCGTGCCCACCCCCCGGCCATGCTGGAGCGGTTGGCTGATGGTTGTATGATGAATTGAGGGGAATGAATCGAACGGAGCCGGCATAGCTACCTGAGCCAGTCTTTACCTATGTAGGTACCTAGGTAGATATAGTGGGTAGAAACAAAGCCCGATTGGCTAGATAGCTTCGTTTCTCCTCTGAGAGTACTGCACCTCGCCATTGGCATGTCTTAGGGAGGTATGATGGTAGTTGGTCAATGGACGATGGACGGCAGACTTGCAGGTGCTCAAACGCGGGTCGGTGGAGATGTTTGGGACGAACGGGCAACGCGGAAATAATATCTGGTTACGGAGCCTGGGTATAGGCAGATCTGCTTTGCGAGTTGCTATTGTCTGATAACGTGCTCGATGAAACCTCAGGTCGACATGCTTCTCGTCTGTCTCCTGCGTACCTCTTTGTCTCTCGTTCCTTCACTTCTCGGGCGTTCCTTCCATGCTGGTTGTCTCTGCAGAGCAACGTTGATGCACAACAGCAGGTAGGAAGGAGGTACCTACAGTACACCTTTGAAAACGCAGAGCAAAGTAAGGGAGGTATTAGGGAAGTAGCTAATGCACCTGCCTCAATTAACCAACCATGATAAGATGGACGCCGAGCGCCGCATTTGTGCAAGTGCCATGGTGGCTCTTTCCTGGACAAAGTCGAACAATTCTGGATCGAGAATATGAGAGGCAGATTCAACGAGATAACTCGCACTGCCAA